GAATGGGGAGTAACTCCTAAAGGGGTTTCTTTTGAGTGGTGGTGAGTGTCCTAAAATCACATAGTAGTGATGGTTGTACACCACTGCGGGTATCTTAAAAACGTCTGAATTGTATACTCCGGAAGGGCAAGTTTTAAGGCTCATGATTATAAATCAGTGACGCTGTTATTAAACGCAAGCCCTGTGCATTTCTGCTCCGAGGATTGGGTCAATAGCAACTCTGCCCGGACCAGCCTGTATGAGTTCGCAGCATAGAAATGGCAGGGCTTTTGCCCACCCCCATCCCCCTTGTTCCTTGGACCTTTTGTTTTGTTTGTTAGTGGTCTCCTCCTCCTTTGTCTCCAGTTCTGTTCCATTTAAGAGATACTATTTCATGATAGACACCATCAACGGACACCATGACCTCAGCCAGGTGGTACTCAGGTCACCACAGGACAGAGCGAGGGGAGCCCTTTCAGAAAGGCAAGGTGGCATGTGGAGGGGAGCTGGCCGGAGAAGAGGGTTTGCTCCGGAGGGGAAAGGTGAGCAGGGATAAGTCAGCAGAGTAAAGGCGTGTTTGAAGATTGCCAACGTGGTAGCTGCCCTTCTGAGGACAAAGGAGGGAAGTATGGGTTTGAGACCATGGAATGGTAGACGGAGAGGTAGATCATGGAAGTGAAGGGTCCCTGCAGGAATCTGTTACTAAGGGTGCAGTTGACTAAGCAAGTGTGGGGCGCAGACCTGGGGGGTATGGAAAGGAAGTTGGGCACCAAGGTGTGGTCTTGGGTGGAGAGACCAAGTTAGAGTTGGAGAGCATGGAGTTTCCAGTACTGAAGAGTTAGTGTGGCCGCAGCTTAACTAAGCATCGCCTCCCTTAGGCTAGTGTGAAAAGTTTCCTTTGCCCCTCAGACACGCACTTTCTCTCTGCCCCGCCTGTACGCAGAAGTTTGGGGGAGAGACAGGCAAAAGATGGGTAGGAAGAAAAAACAACGGGGAGAAAGAAGCAGTAAAGACAGGGCACAGCGTGCCTAGTTCAGTTGTTTCTCATTCAATGTTTCCTCTTTGTTACTCAACACACGAGAATCTGTTCTCTTCTACTAAACAGTGAGCAGGGAGGGCAATTTAATTTCTGGACAGTTGATTAAGCTATCTGTCTCATCGCTTTCTTCTGAAGAAGGAACGATACATACTTTTTAGCATAGATCAGCCAGAGAATCTAGACTATTCTTAAAAAAAAAAAGACATGAAACATGATCTGGGGACATAAATATCTGGGCAAATACAACAAAATGTTTGTCCTGTTGTTACCTGGGAGAGAGAATGTCGCTGTATGGCTCAAGCGATAACTCCTGGGAGTGGTAGTATGATGAACTGCATGGAATTGCCATCTCTCCATCTTTGACCCGCAAAAATGGCAATTTAGTAAGGGTTCAGTCTAATGGACAGCTACCTGACAGACACGTGACCCGCACCCAGGCTTGCGCTTTTGCGAACTCCTTCGCCAGCTCCTCCTTCATTAAGGAATACAGTCTCTAACACCTTCTCACCTCCAGGTCCAGAGGAAGCTCTGAGACATCAGATATTTGCTGTGCCTGGGAGGGGCCAGAGCAAAGGAGAGAAGGAGCCGGGAGCATGCCGCTGGAAAAACCCTGGGGCTCATTCTTCTGGCATCTTTAACATCAGTCATCCTGAGCTCAGAAATGAAAATCCAGGGTGCCTGGCTCGCTCTTGAATGGGTCTGTTGTGAGCAGTTTTAGAACTGCTACTGCTAGAGCCAAGCCTCCAGGGCCGTGGTTCCCAACCTTCCTCATGCCATGACCCTTCAGTACAGTTCCTCGTGTTGTGGTGACCCCCAACCATAACATTATTTCCGTTGCTACTTCATCACTGTCATTTTGCTACTGTTATGAATCTGGCGACCCCTGTGACAGGGTTGTTGCACCCCCAAAAGGGGTCACGACCCACAGGTTGAGAACCGCTGCTCTAGGGAAACAATAGAAGCCAAGGCCCGTGTCTGCAGAGTTGATTTTGACCCTGGGGACTGCACAGCGTCAGAGTAGGGCCATGCTCCGTGAGGCTTCCCAGTGGCTGATTTTTCTGAAGCAGAGTGCCAGGCCTCTCTTCCGAGGTGACTGCATGGACTCACTCAGACAACCTTTCCATTGGTAGCCCTGCGATTAGCCACCCTTTTCACCACCTGGGGACCCCAGGAAAATGAGAGGGATTTAAATGTTGGGAAATCAGTCAGAAATAGGAGAAGGAAGAAGACGGCGAGATTGAGGCAAGGCATGATTTCTGATAGACCCCCCAGCACCCCGTAAGAGCATGCAGCATTTGGTGAAGGTGGCTGAGAGGTTGAAAGATGACATATGAAGTGGTGCTTTTTTGGTCCATTGTATGCTTGATGTTTAAGACAGAACAGTTCTCTGAAACACGCCAGTAGGTGTGAGCTTGGGAATTCCAGGAGATGTACATGAGATGGCTCTCATTCTAATCAGGTTTAGATGTTGGGAACAGGGGTGGCCCCATTATTAGGTACCATTCTGTAAACTTTTAGGAGCTTAAGCTGTACAGAATGCCAGATTCAATGAGTGCAAGAAGTATATTGCTACTGGAACGTCACTGCGGTATGAGGACCTGTGGACAATTGCAGTGCTGAGGCATGTAGAAGCGAGAGTCTGGACTAACCTTCACAGGCACTGAGAGCCTACCACCTATGAACTCAGCCCCTAGAGCAGGTGTCCTCAAACTCTGGCCCGCGGGCCACATGCGGCCTGCTGAGGACATTTATGCACCCGCCTGGTGTTTATACCCCCTTTTGTTTTTTTTAACTTCAAAATAAGATATGTGCAGTGTGCATAGGAACTTGTTCATAGTTTTTTTTTAAAACTATAGTCCGGCCCTCCAACAGGTCTGAGGGACAGTGAGCTGGCCTCCTGTTTAAAAAGTTTGAGGACCCCTGCCCTAGAGGGTGATTGCCCTATAGGATACGGACTTCCAGATGAGAGCTCCCAGATTAGCTAACACAAAACCAGGAAGCGCTCATGCTTAACTGAACGCAGAAATAACCACTGCAGGCAAACCTTAATTACTCAACCCCCTCCTCTCTCAGGATCCCAGCGCTGTCAGCATCCCAGCATCCCTTAGCAGGCTCAGTGAGCCATGTATGCTTCTCAGTAGCCTGATTGCGGGCTTTGGTGCAACTTTAAATCTCATTTCCTTTCTAAGTCTACAGTTAGCTCTATGTGTGGGTAAACCTCTGGGAACTTTAGAGCCATGGGGGACCGCATGTTGGGCTGCTCATCTGAAGGTCAGCAGTTTGAAACCACCGGGAGCTCCTGGGGGAAAGATGAAACTTTGAACTCCCATAAAGGATTACAGTGTCAGGCCCACAGGGGCAATTCTTCTCTGCCCTCTAGGGTTGTTATTGATAGGAATTGACTCGATGGCAGTGAGATAACTAAGCCTCGAGGCTTGGATGTTGGGGTACTGTGGACTACATATGCGCATTTTCACTTAGTAAAGATCTGAAGAACCGTAGAGAACAAGCCAGTCACATAAGAAAAAAAATGCATTAATTGTTCTTCCCTGCCAGGAATGACTCTCTTCATTTTGACCCCTCCTCTGCATACCGTCCCACTCATTTTATGTACGGTGTCCTTTTTTCTTAGATGTTTCTTTCTTTCACATCTGTCAACCTGGAATCTTCCTACCCCTTCCCCTCCTTCATCCTCTCCACCTTTGCGATCCATGCTTCCACCCCCATGGGCGTCCCCAGCATCCAGCCCCTCTTGCCTGTCATCCCATGTACATGCTACTGGTCCTGCTGCCTGTTGCAATGGGGGGACATGGGAAGTTCAGTGCTAGAATTCTCACTTCCATGCGGGAAAGCCAGGCTCAGTTTCCAAGCGATGTTCTTCAAGCGAAAAGCCACCACCCATCTATTTGTTGACCTGCCTGCCGCTAACAGGTTTTTAGCCGTTTCCAGACTGAGACAGATTAGGAAGAAAAGCTTGGTGATCAGCTTCAAAAACATCAGCCCGTGCAAACCTTGTAGCGCACGGTGATTGATTTCACTACAAGGGCTAGATGGCAGGTAATAGCAGCATTTCTAATGCCAGCTAACAACCAAGATACATTTTTCCCCTTCTTCTCTTACTTTACCTGCCCACGATTGTTGTGCTTCTCTGTGTAGGCAAGTTTGACAGCGGCGTGATGAGGACCATCCGAGCTGGCTTGCGGTTCATTAACACCTACCTCATTCGTGCGTGTAGAGATAAATGCGCAGATGATAACTTAGATGTCCAAAAACTAGGACTGCAGCTTTCAAGAGAGATGTCACCAGTCTGGTTGATAGAGCGCCCAGCCTTGATTGATAATGAGCAACTCAGCCTCTGATCAGAGTCTTTCTTCTGCGATTAAACACAATTGCAAAATAAATGGGACTCAAGATAGGGTATGTGACTCGACACGATCACACTGGCAGCATTCCCGAGAGGAGCCAATCACTTATTAATTGAAAGAAGAATCTGCAAATCTCCTGCAAATCAGGAACGTCAGGTCATTTGAAAATGCAGGAGCAGACCTTTCGTGCTGGCTTTGGCAGGCCTCACTGGTTCCCTGTGTAGTACAATCGTGGATGGACGTGCAATCGTGTATGTACGTGCAATCATGTATGCACGTAAGGATGGCTTGGAGTCGTCAAGAAAAGGTTTGTTACGCTCATTGTCAGCCTGGTTCAGTGAGAAATGCACGTCGTCATGCATTTTAGAAATATCTCAAAGTGGTTGAAAAAAAATTTTTAACCCGAGTGTGTATCAAGGAGATGGAGATGCACATTGCATATTTGAGAAGCAAAATCACCTCGGGTCCCCTCACTCCCCAGGGTGCCCGATAAACAGGCAGTGTCGGGGACATGGGCCAATCCTTCAGCTACCACCGCTGCCACTGTTTTTGCAGTACCCCCACTTCTGTGTTGTTGCTTATTCATGGGGTTTTCCTTCCCTTTTCTTTGGTTTCAGATGCGAGTGTCTCTCTGGCTTATGTGGTTTCCCCGTGTGTGAGGTGGGAGCCACTCCCCGCATAGTCTCTCGTGGAGATGGGACACCCGGAAAGTGCTGTGATGTCTTTGAATGTGTTAATGGTACGTGGGGTTTCTCTTGTTCTCAGAGAGGGCACATGTGTCTCAGAGGAGGAGGAGGAGGAGGAGCGGGAGGGTTAAATGAGCTGTGTCTGCCTATGGGAGGCAGGGAAAGTACTCGGAGAATTGCAGGAACTGGCTCAGCAAGCAGGTTTTCCAAAGTCCCACGGCACCATCAAGGGTGCTGGGGCGAGGCTCATTGCTCCACTCTTCAGAAAGAGAATCTTAGAAACGCACTAGCATGTTACACGCAGCCCACACTCTGCTGTGTGCTGCCCGTTCAGAAATGCCGTGTTGTCAGGAGAAGACTGGAGAAACCCACGACCTATTTCTGCTGCACTCATTTGCCACTCTGTCAGGAGGCACTCGGTGGAACTAGAGCACACTGGAGAGACCGCAACTTAGAAAGAGCATTGTCCATCTTTCCCACGTCACCCGTCTTTGGCCATTGTTCAGTCATTAGTGTGGCCCACGTGGGGGGCCAGGAAAAGGATTCTCCAGTCCAAAGACCCCTTCTGATAGAATCCACTTCTCATTTTGACCTTTCCCAAGAGAGTGTGGTACTTGTCGCTTAAGGAAGAGACATAATTTTGATGGAAATTAGATGGCTAGAAGGGAAACCACTCTCACTGCCATCAAGTCAATGCCGACTCGTAGTGACCCTCCAGGACAGAGTCCACCTGTCCCTGTGGGTTTCTGTGACAGTAATTCTTCACAGGAATAGAAGACTTTGGCCCTCAGAGTGGCAGGTGAGTTTGAACTCCTGTGGTCAGCAGCCCAATGAATAAGCACCCCGTCACCAGAACCCCTAGGGAGGACAACCCAAAACAGTACCCCTCCCTTAGCCCTGTTAGAAGAGAAAACAAAACTCCCTGCCATCGATCGATTGAGCCATTGCTGACTCATGGTGACCCCCTGCGGGTTTCCGAGACGGTCACTGGTTACAGGAGTAGAAAGCCCAGCCTATCTCTTTCAGAGCTGCTGGCGGTTTTGAACTGCTGACCATGGGGGATGGCAGGCCAACAATAACCACTATGCCAATAGGGCTCTTTTTCAGAAGTAAGGAAATGAAAGCTAAGCAAGTGAGATGGCAACCGTTATCAGACATCATTGGTTCTCCGCAGGCAAACAGATGGGTTTGGACATGTACAGCAGAAGGACAGAGATATATTCCTGTGAACTGGGGATGTCTGGTAGGGTCAGGGTTTCCTGCCCCAATCCTAAACTCTCCCTTGCCCCACAGCAAAGGGTTAGGTAACAGCGGAGTCCTGTTCGATTGTATCCTGTGGTTTGGAGGCCAGTGGTCACATGTGGTCTTGTGGTTTTGTTTGGAACAAACCCACCATGACTTCAGCGCTCTGGGGAGAGCACAGATTGGACCCAGAGGACTACCGTCTGAGTACTGATTCTTCCAGTTCCTACGGGAGGGGGTTGGGCTCCTGGGCCTTCAGCACCTGCATCTGTAAAATGGAGTTAATACGGGAAAATTGAACAGAAAACCAGACTCATTGTCACTGAGTCAACGACCCTCTCCTAGGAACCCCTTAGAACAGGCCAGAACTCCCCCAGGGAGTCTCTGAGACTCTAATTCTTGACAGGAGTAGAGAGCCTCATTTCTCCCAACGAGTGGCTAGTGGTTTCGCATGGCTGACCTTCTCTGTAGCAGCCCAACTCGTAACCATTACGCCATCAAGGTTCCTAATGGTAAATGAAGCTGGGTTTTAATGTGTGACATGTGGAATTGTAACAAAGGTGCTAGTGGTTTTTATGATTTTATGCACCTCCCTCCTGTTCAGGACTCTGAAATGGGCATTGGCAGGGGTAGAGAAGGTGAGAGGAGCTTCCTGGCTACAAATCGAAGGACTTTAGAAAAAGCCCAGTAAGCCCAAGCACTCAGCAGCGAGGGCTGCAGACAGACTGCCGGGTGTGCACAGACTCCTGACACTCCGCTCGCCCACGCTATCATCCGGCCGTCAGTAATGCCTGGGGAACACCAGTGAAGAGTCAGACACACCTTTCCCCCCTGGCTCCACTGCATTTTAATTTGTCAGTGGTGCTATGCTGTGAATTCTGACTCGTACCATTGGAGACCCGAAGAGTCTGTGCCTGCCCTGGGCTCCCCCTGTCGTCTCCGACAAATTTCCTTCGAGCACCGATCACTCTGCCTTACAGGTACCTACTCTCTTGCCTGTCTCCCATTCCAGAATGAGCACCGACAGATCGAGGCACCCAGCACTTTCATCCTTGGGTCTGTGAACATTAGCACAGAACCTGGCTTACGTAGGATGCCCAGATTTTGCTGACTGTATGAGTGAGCTTGTGTCTCGAGGCGGCTGTTAAAACACCTGCTCAGAGAGGGCTTGCTCTGTGTGGGAATGTTGGGCTTCTCCACCCTTTAATCTTACGTCATCTGTCTCCCAGAAATACCGTCCCTAATAACAGCATTGGCTCTTGCTTCCTCTGGGTGATGAAGAAGAGAGTTTTCTCTCCTTGCTTCTTGTTGATAGAAACTGGAGGGTCATGCCATTTTTTTATGAGGACATGTTAGCTGAGTTGCTTCCAGTCTGAGGTCCCTGAGATAGCTGATAACTGTGCCCCACCTCAGCGGCCGGAGATGACTGTTGAAGACTGCCCCTGCTGGTCGCCTCAAACCCCACGCCAAGTACTAGGACGTTTGTCTGCCCTGAGGAACTGTTCAGACAACAGAACACAGGCACAGTGTTGCTAGTGGTGGTTTCTCTCTTGTGCCGGTAAACTTTTGGAATTATTTTTTAAATTTATTTTTTGTTCTACATCTGCTGCCACATTAGTCAGTCAGTTGTAAATAAGACCGGGAACCATAACACTGTGATAATTTATCTTACTGAACCATGTTTGGATGTCAAAGGCCTGTATCTGACTTTTTACAATAGATGTTACATTTCTTTGTTTCTTCCCCCTCTGGCACCAGCCCCACCCCACCCACCCCCTGGCCCCGTGTCTACGTACTCTGGTGCCAGTTCATGCATGCGTGGGCTAATTCCAAACAACATGCGCTTAAGCAGGTCTCTGGAGTCAGCAGATGGCTGCAGACAAGTTCTCTCAGTAACGCACTGGTCTTCAGAAGATCCCATCAGAACAGAATCTGCTGGGACAGTGCAATTCCGGGCAGAGAGGTCATCTCAGAAGGGTAGGGTGACATTTTTAGGATTCTGCAGGGGGTGATCTTGACAGGTTTTCTAGAAAGACACAGGATGGTCATGGGGTTTATTATGGAGAAGTTTTAACAAAATTGGAGACTGCACTGGTGAGCAAAAAGACCAGGAAGTTGGGGCTGAGGACTTTTTTCCATCCAATGTGCTGCTCATTCTTTGAGGGCTTCAAGGGCTATGAGAAGTTCAATGGGAAACCTTAGCCCATCCACCCCGCAGCCTAGTGCTGCCCCTTTCAGACTTCTTTCTGTCCCCCAACCCCCCAAAAGTCATTTAAAAACACAAATTTGCAGCCCTTGGTGATGCCAAAACTGCACCCCCCCGCCCCCCTCCCCCATGCTGTAAATCAAAGAGCACAGACTGATTCAGGGAAGGGCAGGGCTAGAGAAAAAGAAGGCTTTTAGAAGTGTATAGCTCTAGGTGGAGGATATGTCCAGAAATAGCTTTGCATGTTGATACTTCTGTTTAATGAAGGCTTCTAGTATTTTGTAGTAATACTTTTGACTTACCCTATTGAGTGTAGTTACACACACACACACGTACATGTGTATAAATCTCCACAGAGGAACCCATGGGCATATATATGTATATGGATACATGGATGAATAGAGATTTACCACCCAATACCCAGGGAAAATCATGCTGACGTCATGTCAGAAGTTCACCTTTGGAAAGTGAACTTGTATGTCACAGACTCATGACCATCACCCAGAAAAGCAGAAGTCTGTCGTTTCTCTTATAAAATTGCTTTATGCCTTGCTTTAAGGCAATTGACGGTGAGAACAGATACAATAACCTACAGGTAAAATATGCCTAACAGAGAACAGAGCCGTAGAATGTAAAGTAAAAGTGGAAACCAGACCAAGAGTCCGCAGCTAGGCAGGCCCTCTGTGTCTGTGCAGTCGCCGAGTTAAATCTTAAATTAGACTTCCACCCTCCAGCAGCCCGGGTGGCAAAGGAGAGAGGCTCAGCTGCACAGTTCTTCTTTCCCGAGGGCGAGAAACCTGCTGGGCAGGACAGCACGCTCGCCAGTGGAAATTTCTCACTTGGAAATGAACCGAGAGAACACTGAATGATAAAGTCACCAATGCGCTCAACTCTACGAAGAGACACGTCTCCTGCGGCTGTTTGTCTAAAAATAGAAAATAAAAACAACTCAGGGGAAGCAGCTCTAAGAGGACACTTCTTCGGCACACAGCTAGAACCCGGGTTCTTGGGTAGGAGATGTAGAGATCTCCGCTCAGAAGGGAGTACACTGAGTATCAGTATCAGTATGCTCAACTTATGGAACAATATCCTTGATATTAGATACAAGCAAAGTTTTGCTGAAGATCATCCAGCAATGGTTGCAGCAGCACACTGACAGGGAGCTGCCAGAGGTTCAATTCAGATTCAGAGGAGGACATGGAACAGGGATATATCATTGCTGGTGTCAGATGAATCTTGGTCACAAGCAGAGTTTACCAGAAAGATGTTCACTTGTGTCTTATTGACGTGCAAAGGCACTTGCCTTTGTGGATCATAAGAAACCATGGATCGTCTTGGAAAGAATGGCCATTCCAGAACACTTCATTGTGTTCGTGTGGAACTTGTGCACGAACAGGAGGCAGTCGTGGGACCCGAACAAAGGATCACTACTCATTTAAAATCAGGAAAGATGGGTGTAAGGGTTTTACCCTCTAACCATACTTGTTGAATCTCTATGGTGAGCAAAATAATCAGAGAAGCTGGGTTATATGAAAAAGAATGCAGTACCACGATGGGAGGAAAGCAAAATTGAAAAACCAGGAAAGAGCAGAGAGAACATGGAGA